TTTTCATGAACGTTTTTTCAAAGGATAGATTTGGTACAGGGAGGGGCCAGTATCAGACAGTGTTCTTCTTCTTCTTCTTCTTCTTTTTTTTTTTTTTTTCCCGGAAAACAGAACCGTGCGGTTCTGGCTCCTTTCCATTCTGGGGAGCGTCAGTCYGGTTCCTTTTCCACCGGCAAGTCAAAATTATAACAATTACGCACACACGCCCCTCCCCATTATGGTTGAGAGGTCCGAGCCGTCGGCATTGATTACTTCCCGTGGGAAGGATGTACCACCCCTCACCCCTGCCTTAGTTAGCCTAGCTGCTACAATTCTGAGACATATCCCAATTTATCTGGGTTTTTTTTTTTTTTTTTTTTTTTTTACACCATATTGCAATGACTTGCTGGTTCTGCTGACCTGTAGCCCGTTGAGTCAAGGCTGTACCATAGGTAGGTCAGATTCGTAATTTTGTTTGGCTGAGGGCTAACCACAATATCTGACTGTGAGGAAATTCGTGAGGAACATATCTGCAAATTCGGGAAATTATAGGCTTGCCCTAGCCCGAATTCCCTACAGCTACCCTAACTGCGAATAGCAGGCCCGGGCTACCCCTAGGACAGACAAGCCTTAAGGCCTACGCCTATAGCCGGGTATGGAGAGGCCCTAGAGGCCAAACTGAAACGGAACCAGTCGGTCCAGTCAGTCCGGTGTAGGTAGAGTCTAGGCTAGGGTAGAGCTATTAATAGATGGTAGTAATCTGTTCGGGGCTTTTGGGCAGTTCAGTCATTCGGCGCTGGAGTTGTTACTGGTGAGAGACTATTCACTGCTGCTACGCATGGGAGCATGCGAGAGACGTCGACCATAGCTCAGTCCTTGGAGAGGCAGCCATAGCTGGGGACTCCTCTATCCTCCTGCAGTACGTTGGGGCTGTCAGGAGACCGGGGCTATTTGGAGGAGGTCTGCTGGAAGCTTCGAAGTGGTGGGCTGCAGCCATAGCTGCAGCAGTGTTTTCAGAGGTCGTCTTCTTTATCGGAAAGGGTGACGCAGCTGCTGATCTTCATCTGGGATGTCATCTGACGCTCCATCTCCATCGGACACTGTGGCGCTGGTCTTCTTCTTCATCTGTTGGGTGGCACAGGTCCTCAGTTGGTATCGGAGCGATTGGATCTGAGCAGTGATACTGAGATGAGCAGGACTAACCATCATCATCTGGAAGATCTCTGAAGGCGAATTTCATGGTGAATTGTCATCTTCAGGGTGGCGACAGTAGGGTGGTGGTGGCGAGTAGGTGTAGGTGGTGAGTACACAAAGTTGGATGGAGTTTGGCCCTCCAGAGGTCTGGAAAATTCTGGAAGACTAAAAATAGCCTGGCGACTCACTCTCTTCTGACGATTGTGTGTTTGGATCACTTTTGAGGGTGTGGCAAGAAGAATTGGAAGAGATAGGCCAATTGTTCTCTAGCGCTGAGTAGGGTTTGACAGCTGAAGACTGGGGTGTCACTTTTCAACCCCCAGAGGACCAAATTCGATGCATCGTGCAAGTGGAGGTGAAGCACCGCAGTGAGAAGAGCAGGATAACCAAGTTTGAGCAGATTCTGCAGGTGGGAACACCAGAGGCTGTCAATTGAAGAAAGTGACGAGAACATGCTGAGAGGTGTTAGCCATAACCGGTTATCCATCTTCCTCTGCAGACATGAAGTGAAGTAAGTGTGTTCCATCATCTACTTAGTGAGGCGATTCTGTGGCTATTTTAGAAAGTCGAAATAAAGGTTGTCTGTCAGTTTACTATTGAATCTAGGGAATTCTACTGCCTGACAGCCATAGCTAGTTTCTCCTACCTATCTTCTTTTGCATCTACTAACTTTGTTTGACCTTCCCTCCGACTCAAACTTCATCTGTGACTGCTGTACAATATTGCGATTTATTTCATGCAGTGATGGGTTGAATTCTCTGCCGAATTGTCAGTGGAAATCAAAATCCGAATTCTGGACTTCCATATCTGGAGGTAGGGTAGAGTAGGGTTAGTCATATTTCCTTTTTGTCCGTCAGAATTCGAGTTTGATTGATCCCCTGAACTCGCAATTTAGTCTTATGTACCTGTGTGAAATCGCAAAGTTAGTATTGACGTTTTGAGTGCAGTACAGTGCAAACTGTGAAATCGCCATACCCAAGGTAGGATGGCAAGGTCAAACAGTGAGGAAGAAGTCTGTAGTAGGCTAAAAATAGCTCTACAGTAAATCGTATTCCCTTGAGTTTGCTATTCTCCCTGTATGTGGGCAATAATCACTCTGTTGTATTACTAATATGTACTAATTAGTCCTAGATTGCACTCTGTTAGTTATTCAAAGCAGCGTTCAGAGAATTGCATCTGATTTGGGAGTCAGGTGAATGGAAAATCGTGAAATGGTTTTTACTGGGTGTACCCTAAATTGAGTCTGCCCCTCAAGCAGTCTGCTGAGACTAACTATTCGCTTACTCATCTAACCACAATTCCACTTCCAGTCAGGCAATAGGCGACTAGGACACTCCTGAAGGGAATCCTAATTGCCATTGACCTCCGCTTCTGACTTTCTCTATCTGTTGTTGTCGGGTACTAACCTCAGGCATCATGCCCGAGAAAGGGGAATCGTCACAGCCCCCTCTCTCGAAGCTGGATCAGGCGCTGCAGCAAGCTCAGAAAGAATTTGAGGCTAAGGCTGCTGCGCTGAAAAGGTTACAGGAAGAGGAGCTGGATGAGCAGGCAGCTGCAGGTGAAACTAGGATAAAGGAGCTCCTGACAGAATTGGGAAATCCAGGAGAGTGGTACCGCCAATGGGTGCAATAAGACTGTGGCGGAGATGATTGTCTTTCAGGACAAACTGAACTGGTCTTATTTTACCAATTGGGATGAGAGAATATCAGCTCTGGAGACTCAACAGAGTTCCATTGAGGGTGAGTTGGATAAGCTGTGCTCCAAGGTCGATTGGATTCTCTCTAAACTCTCTCTCTCTCCCGAATCTTCTCCCAAACCGCCTCCTGTCATCATCCCACAATCACAACAACCACCCAAGTCCCTGTCCCCGCGTTCCAGTCCTCATTCCAGATCTTCCTTTGTCCCCTCACCAAGCGATTTGCTGCAACCCAAGTTGACACCTCCACCCATGTTCTCAGGTGAAGACCCAAAGGTGGATGTGACAGATTGGACTGCTGCACAGAGAACCTACCGGGGTGGGTTCGCCTGTGAGGAACGAGTGAAGATCAACACTGTGCTAGGCCGGCTAGAGAAGGCGGGACTGAAATGGTGCACGTCTATTGCCATGCGGCAGCACATGCAGATGATGGAATGAGCTTGCAACTTGGGTCTGGAGGGAATTCTGAGGGCCTTGGAGGAAAGATTCAGGGACAAGGAGCAAGCCAGGAAGGCCGCTGACAAGTCGATGCAGATCGGTCAGCGAAAGTGGGAAGACTCCTTGTCTAAGTTATACAACACTTTTGAAACCCTGACCTCCACCCTTGGATTGGAGATGAATGAGGAAGACCAGCTCATTCACTTCACCAAGGCGGCTCCCTCAGACTACTCTGTAGCCTTGTTTACCAAGGAATATAAGGATTGGAGATCCTTTGGCCGAGCAGCACTGGACTTGGAGGCCAGACTCGGGTTTAGGATCCTTCTGCAGGAAGGAAGGGACCCTCCTTCAGGGGCGAGAAAAAGAAGAAGGGTGCCCTCTTGGCATCAGCTGCAAGTTCAGATGAGGAGTCAGCCTCTCAGAGTGGGAGCCCCCCCTCTGAGACTGCTTTCCCATCAGCTGTTGAGCCAGCTGTTCAGGCCCTGGATGATGCTTTTGCATCCTTCATCAAAGGCTAAGGACCTGCAAAAGCCTCTTCCAGCAGCAGCAAGGGAAGAGGTGGGAAACGTTCCTCCCCTGTAGACAAGGCAAGGCTACTTGGAAACGGTTCATGGCCAGCTGACCCCCTGGATGCTTCCACCCTTCCCTGGCATGCACTCAGGATTCAGGAAGGGGTATGGAGGAAGAGGAAGGATCAGGGAGTCTGCCTCAGATGTGTCGGGCACCATTTCCTCGAGAACTGTCCCCATATGCCATGTTGGGGCTCAGGCACAAGATTAGGCACAAAAAACTAGAGCAGTGATTGGTGGAGTCAGCAGCTCCATCCACTAGTGGTGAGTCATTTTTTGATGAGCTGCACCTTATTGCTGATCTTTTTCTGAGACTGCAGGAGAAGAAAAAGCATAAGACAGACCTCATCCTACTTCGACCCTCGATCTTGGGAGGTAGATTCAAAGGGCTGTTGGACAGTGGGGCCACTCGCAACTTCATCTCTCCCAAAACAGTCGGCAAGCTGCATCTGGATGGGAGATTGGTGAAATTGCAGCAGCCGCTTGAGGTCCGTATAGGGGACTCGTCCACAGTCAGGATCACAAATGCTGTCAAAGGTTTGCATGTGACCTTTGATCAGCAGGGAGAAATCAGGCAACACCGGAATTTCTCTGTGTTCCCAAACCTACCCTTTGATCTTGTGTTCTCCCTGAAGTGGCTAGAGGCCACCAACCCCAGGGTTGACTGGCGTATCCCTAGAGTTGAGCTGCCTAATCGGCGAGGGGAATACCGGCCATGCATGTTAGCCGACGAGTACCACCCGATCAGCAGCTGGTTTTGCATGCGTGCTTCTAAGTTTTTCAAGTTGTCACGCCAGACTGACCACCCCCGTCTGTTCATGGCTTTTGTCAAACAAACTCATGTGGAGATTCCTCCCTGTCCTCCTCAGGTACAACAAGTGGTGGACAAGTTTGCATATCTTATGGAGGAGCCTACTGGGCTAGTCCACAGACAAACCCAACATGAGATCGAGCTGCTGCCTAGATCGGTCCCCCCAAGGGCCGTATCTACAGGATGTCCCCTGCTGAGCTACAAGAGCTCAGAAAGCAGTTGGAGACCCTCACAAGCAAGGGCTGGATTTGTCCCAGTGTCTCTGAATTCGGTGCCCAGTCCTCTTTGTTCCAAAGGGGAATGGTGAGTTCAGGATGTGTGACGACTACAGAGGGCTCAACAAGATCATGAGGAAGTCTACAAAGCCTCTTCCTCGGATCGATGATCTGGTGGATATGGTACAAGGTTGTACATTGTTCAGTAAGATCGACCTCAAATCTGGTTATCACCAGATTGAGATGGCAGAAGGCGATGTTCATAAGACAACCTTCAGGACTAGGTATGGTACATACGAGTATCTGGTCATGCCATTCGGTCTCTGCAATGCGCGTGGTACATTCCAAACAGAGATGCATCACATACTGAGGTCTTACCTGGCCAAGTTCGTAGTTGTATACCTGGATGATATTCTGGTATTCAGTTGGACTGCCCAGGAGCATGCGAAGCATTTGGCTCTTGTCCTCCAAGCTCTACATGACAACAAGTATAAGATCAACAGAGAAAAGTCCTCCTTTGGAGTGACTTTTGTGACTTACTTGGGTCATGTTATCTTTGGAGAGAGGTTGGCTCCTGAGGTAACGAAAGTTGCAGCAGTTCAGGATTGGACGCAACCAGTGAACGTTCGTGATGTAAGATCTTTCACGGGGCTTGCATCGTATTACAGGAAGTTCGTTAAAAACTTCTTTTCTATTGTTGCACCTCCGACTTACCTTACAAAGAAAGACACTTCCTTTCTTTGGACATCTGAATGTCAACAGGCTTTCACACGTCTCAAGGAGGCCTTGATTTGTGCACCTGTTTTGAAGCTTCCAGATCCTACATTATCTTTCGTGCTAACCACTTTCTGCCACAGGATCCGATTTCCAGACCCATTGTAAGGAATCTGCAGGCTGATCCTGCCTCTGAACCTGGTTATACCGTGGTTTCAGATTTGCTGTACACATGTAGCAGAGGCGAGGAATGTTTGTGCATCCCTTCTGATCGCAAGCTCAAAACACTCTTTATGTCCGAGTGTCATGATGCTCGTGGTCACTTTGGGGCCTTTAAATCGTATGCAGCCCTGTCGCAACGCTTCGTCTGGAAGGAGACGAGGAGTGACATGTTGCACTATGTGGAAACTTGCGAGTTATGCCAAAGGAATAAGGTCGTTCGTAGACCTCCCCTTGGCCTACTCCATCCACTTCCCATCTTTGAGGCACCTGCACAATTTGTGTCTATTGATTTCACAGATTTGGGCAGAACCACGCCACGTGGCATGCGTCAGGTTATGGTGTGTTTGGACCAGTTCTCCAAATATGCACAGTTCATCCCCTTACCAACTGAATCCCGTGTCCCAGCCGTACAAGCGGCTTTTGCTGACAGGTGGGTCACACATCATGGACCACCCACCTCGATAGTCGGTGACCGAGATCCCAGGTTTTGCAGCAATGAATTGCAATCCTACTGCAGGGATTACCTTCATTCTCGTCTGGATATGCATTTGGTCGACATCCTGAAGCCAATGGTCAGGCTGAGGTGATGAACCAGATTCTATTTCAGTTGTTGCGTCTTGTGATTAGTCCAGATCAATAGGACTGGGATCTGCATTTGGGTCTTGCACAACTAGTGTATAACGCCTCTATGTAACCGGCTGAACACGCTGAACGCGCGCGTTCATACCCCCCGGGGCCGCGTTCAATCGCGTTCAAACGCGCTGCGCGCCACGTGGCGCGAAAAAATTGAACGCGCCCCCGGGGGGTGCGCGCGCATCGCGGACTACGGGTGGTGGGCCTCGTTCAGCGAACCCCGAAAGTGCAACCCCCCCCCATGAGGCCTACCCCCCTACCACGTCAGCCCCCGCCATATGTGAAGAGTCATTTTTTCTCTTTGGGGGTGGGGTGGGGGAATCCCCCTAACACGGCTCAGACGGCCCATGCAGGCTATCCGAAGGGTCCTCGCAGACATGTAGCGCAGACCCCCCCACCGAAATCAAGGCAAGCAGTGAATATGAAGTAGAGCACGAGCTGGCCGAATATATACTCAAGATTCGAATTCAGGTCTGTGTTTCAGCAGTTATGGGTTGCTCACGTAGCTAGGCCCTGCATGTGATTCTCAAGGCTTGGCTGCACTACTCACCAAATGTGTAAAACTAGAAGGAATCTTCTGCAGAACATGGAATAATACGCCGCCATATGTTTTGTCTTTTGTGCATGTGGTGAGTAGAAGCCCTTAGGGCCACTGCACATATTCCTAAGGGAAAAAAACCGAGAAAAAAAAAAAACCGAGAAAAATGAAAAATGAGAAAAAAGAAAAACAAGAAAAACAAGAAAAATGAAAAATGAGAAAAAAGAAAAACAAGAAAAAAGATAAACGAGAAATTTTTCTCATTTTTCTTTTCTTAGAAATACATGCAGTGGCCCTAAGGGCCTCTACTCACCACATGCACAAAAGACAAAACATATGGCGGCGTATTACTCCATGTTCTGCAAAAGATTCATTCTAGTTTTGCACATTTGGTGAGTAGTGCAGCCAAGCCCTCACGTGCAGGGCCTAGCTACGTGAGCAACCCATAACTGCTGAAACACAGACCTGAATTCGAATCTTGTGTGTATATTCGGCCAGCTCGTGCTCTACTTCATATTCACTGCCTGCCTTGATTTTGGTGGGGGGTTTGCGCTATATGGCTGCGAGGACCCTTCAGATAGCCTGCATGGGCCGTCTGAGTCGTGTTAGGGGGATTCCCCCACCCCCCCCGAAAAAAAAAAAAGAACCCTTCACACACACACACACACACACACACACACACACACACACATTCACACACACACAGACACACAATTTCGCACACACACTTTTTTTTTTTTTTTTTTTTT